TATCTTAGCACTTCCTTATTTTCTGGCATGACAAGATATTTCAGGCTTATCTGCTTATTTCCTGTTCCCGTCCCATAATCGGCCACTTCCTCAAGCGGTCCTCCTTCCTTTTATTGCAAAAATGGTATTAGAAACTAAAATGGCCTCAGGGGACTATGGGTGCTCCTTGCTCCTGCGATGTTGCTGTTCTTAGGCTATAAGAATGGCATGAAGTGGGCAGTGTCTGACCTCCTCTGGCTTCTCAAGGAGGAACACCAAGCAAAAAATCTAATCCTCTGACTTCAAGTCAGTTCTGAATCATAGCCACCTTACATGTAGGATTGAGTGGAACTGGCCCTTAGGGTTCCAAGAGAGAATCTCCACAGCAACGCACTGTCTTATCTTCCTCCAGAGGAGCGGCCGGTAGGTTTGAACTATAGACCTTGTGTTGGAGACTGAAACTCAGCCTCAGCCCAAGGCTGATCCCTGTGAGGGAGGTAGAGGTCAGACATGCTTCCATCCTCCAACTGTCTCTGCCAACCCCACGGTGTTCTCTACACGGTTCACTTCTCCGCTGGGCTCAGTACTCCGTTATGGAGAACTGACAGGCACTGCTCACAACTGCGGGGTCACTGGGGCAGCTGACAGGCTGCAATTCAGGATCAGGAACACCAGGACAGACGCCTCTTAGCCATACCCCTCTGTCCCTCAACCTGCTGGCCACAGGGCCCGTTGGCCTCTGCCCTGCTCAAGCAGTGTTGCAGACTGAGTTGAGTTCTACCAAAAGGCACTCCCATGCCACCAAGAAGCCTCAGCTTGAAGGCCCTCAGAGTTAGCGCTGCAATTCACAAGCCTAGTTCCTAGACAGATGCCTGGGAGGCAACCTACACCGCAAGCAAGCCTGCTTTCCAAAGACTTTTCTCCCTGCAGCCGGGAAGCCCACTTCTCTGGGACATCACACAGCTCCTGTCTCCTGGATCGGGGAGGACCAGCATGTGGGATCTCGGAGTCCAAGGGATGTGCTCCACTTCTGGCTCTTCTTTTCCTTGATGGTAGAGTCCCCTTTTCACTTCTGAGATGCTCATTTTAAACCTAGCATGGTGGCAACACTGAGCAGCTCCCACATTTGAGTTCCATACACACTATTTGCATGACCCCACCCCACATGGGTGCTATGTACCATATTGACATTATTAGGACGTTAGGAAGCTACTCAGTCTACTTGGTGGGTCACAAACATAGTCCTGTCCAGTAGAAATTGCAAAGATTATGGCTGGAAGATTTATATCAAGAATTCACTGAACCACATAGGCCCTCCCAACTGATGGAGCAAAGAAAATGTGTGTGCATATTAGCTAGTATATCCCCACATACCAAGGGCCATGGGCACGGTGGGGAGATTTACAGCCTTGCAAACCCTGCATAGGGTCGCTGGGAGTCAAAATGGACTTGGTGGCAGAAGTAGGTGGGCACACACCAAGTTGTAGTTGTAGCCCCCTGGGTCTATATTACACTCACCCTGAGTTCATCCTGATGTCTCTAGCTCGAATCCATGGTTACTGGGTTGTTCCAGCCGTCCCCTCTCCCCCCTGCCTTGTTTTCCTGTGAGCTCTGTCTCCCAGTGAGTCAGCTGACTCCCACCATCCTCCTCACTGGCTCAGTCCACTCCGCTGTGGAGGACAAGTGGTTTCAGAATCAAGGACAGCGTTCACACGTTAGTGTTACAGACGTCACTCTTTTCCCCACCTCCTTTAGTGAAGGGCTTTCATACATTTGTAACACATTCTTTTTCTTGCTCCCTTCTTCATTCTATCCTGGGATCCTCCAACTTCTCAGGAGAGTGGTTCAGACCTACTAGCTGCTCTTTGAAAACCCTTGTTGTTATTGTTAGGTGCCATCAAGTTGGTACCGACCCATAGCAACCTTACGCACAGCAGAATGAAACATTGCCTGATCCTGGGCCAACCTCACTACTGTTGACAAATGCATGAGTCCATCAATGCTACCACTTGGCATATTCATCTTGTTGGGGTCTTCCTCTCTTTCTCTGACCCTCCACCTTACCAAATATGATATCCTTCTCCAGTGACTGGTCCCTCCTGACAGTATGTCCAAAGTATGAGAGACGAAATTTGGCCATCCTGGCCTCCAAGGAGCACTCTTGCTGCCTTTCTTCCAAAAACGGATCTGTTGGTTCTTTTGGCAGTCCATGGCACTTTCAATATTCTCCTCCAACACCGTAACTCAAATGTATCAATTCTTCTGTGGTCTTCCTTATTCACTGTCCAGCTTTCGCATGCATATGAGGTTACTGAAAATACCATGGCTTGGGTCAGGCGCACCTTAGTCCTCAAGCTAACATCTTTGCTCTTCAACAACTTTAAAAAGGTCTTGTGCAGCAGATTTGCCTAATGCAATACGTTGTTTCATGTCTTGACTGCTGCTTCCGTGAGTGTTGATGGTTGATCCAAGAAGAATCGAAAACCCTACACAGCGTCAGCATGCGTCTGGACCTGTTTGACGGCACTTTACAACAATAGAACCCTACAAGACGTTGGTGTAAGGCCTTTGAGTCCGTTCTGACTCATAGTGACCATGTAGAGTTTCCTAAGGAGCAGCTGATGGGTTTGCACTGCCAGCCTTGTGGTTCGTGGTCCAGTGCTGATCCTACAGTGGGGTGGATTCATGGGTGGATTCATTTGTTGAGTTGCAAAGTGGTTTGAATGTACATGGGTCATGTGTCAGATGTCTAGGTTTCTCCTCACTCAGAGCTTCCTGACCACATGTTTCCCACACACACGAATCCATTCTGTTTGCTATTCAGTGAGCTCATGCATTTTTGGGCAGTTCAGTTCCAAAGACTACTTGCTTGGAGCCCTTCTCAGTTAGCCCTCAGCCCAGGCACCCAGAACCCTGCATGTCTTGGTCACCCAGTGGGTTCATCCGTGTTGTACAGTTTCTGGACGATCAGATCCTGTGCGCGTGACCTACAGTCTTCAGAGCCACGTGAGCTCTCAGAGAGGCTTCCAGTGACTATTAAGAGAGAAAACGAGATTGTTTCCCTCGTCAGTCTCGGAACCCGAGTTCTAGAGCAGGGCCCTGTGGCTGCTGTGTGCAGCATGGGCCCAGCAGCAGGGACATGCAGTGCTCAGGGCCTTGGGCCAGCTGCTGCTGGCTGTGAGCAGCCCCATCGGGTGGCCCCCAGGCCCTAGACTGGTTGTTCTTTTCTCTTACTTGAGCAGGTTTGGGGCACTGTGCCAGGGGTTGACTCCTCCAGCCACCTCACTGCACTCCATGGCTTTTATTTTTTTCTCTTCTGACTCCTGACTCCAACTCAGTTTAGCTTCCCTTTCCTTACACATTTCTGAAGGCGAGTTAGGGTGATGGTTCAGGGCAGAGACATATAGACGCAGACAATCCAGGCTTCAATCCTGGGCCCTTGTGAGGAGCGAACTCGACTTTCCTGCTCTGTAAAATGGGTATGCACTAGTGATCACTCACAGACTACATTAGAATTAAACCAGATCATTTATATAAAGATTAGCACAGCGCCTGGCACAGAGCAGGTTGTTAAGTGTCATCAAGTCATTTTCCGACTCATAACCACCCTCTGTAGGGTTTCTGAGGAGTGACTAGTGGGTGTGACCCACCAACCTCATGGTTGTAGTTCAGTGCTTATTTTACAGCGTCATTCAGCCAATGTTAGCTGTTAAAATATTCTCGATTGTTCTGTTGAGCCTTCTCGCTCTGTGTGGCGCGAGGTGCAGGAGGAGGAGAAAGCGCGTTAGGTCACCTCTCCCAGCTGGTGTGCAAGGGTGTGAAAGCACATTGTGCCCTGTGCTGTGTCTTTGGTAAGAAACCCTGGTGGCGTAGTGGGTTAAGTGCTGGGTTCCTAACTAAAGGGCCAGTGATTCGAACCCATCAGCTGCTCCCATATAAAGATCTGCAGTCTCGGAAACCCTGTCTAGCATCACTGTGAGTCGGGATTGACTCAGTGGCAATGGGTGGGCACCTCAAGGCCGCCTACCAGGTGACTCTTTGTTAGCTCGGTGTTGACAGTAGCGGAATTCTGAGTGTGTGTGTGTGTGTGCGAGTGCACTGGGCTGAGTACGTTTGCAGGAAGCACCCCCAGTGGAGAGCCCCCCTGGTTGTGAGCTGGCTGCCTGGCCAGACTGAGCTGGGGGATGTAGGCTCCGACTGTTGCCCGAGAGGGAGGAGGAGGGGTTTTCGGGAACATGTTGTCTCTGGGCTCGGCCAGCTCAGCTGTCCTGTGGGGACTGGCATCATGAAGGGAAAACCACACACGAGTGTCAGGGGGCTTCTTGGTTTGTTTTGGATGAGCCAGGAAACCAGCCACCTGGCTGTGGCAGAGTTCTCTGCTGTACCATATGGGCCCGCTGCAGGGCTGTGAGCCTCCCGTTCAGTGTCACAGAGCCAGCGTGGAAGTCACGTGCCCGAGCCCAAGGACACTGTTGGTGGTGAGGGCAGTGGTGCACAGGTCATCAGAGCAGTGGTGGATCAGATCTGTGACCTAGCCTTATTGCCTAAAAGGACAGCCTGGGGTGGGGGCTGATGAGCTATACCGCTGATCCCGTCTGTTCCTGGGTGCTTTTTTGTGTGCTAAGAGTCCCTTTATTTTCGGAAGGGAACCCCTGGAGGCACAAAGTTTAAACACTGAGCTACTAACTCCAAGTTGGCAGTTTAAATCTGCCCAGAGGCCCCTCAGAAAGGCTTGGTGAGCTAGTCTCCGAAAATACGGCTGTTGAAAACCATACTGCGCAGGTCTCCTGACGGCAGCCGAACTAACCCAGATCCAGCTGGTCCGTGCGGACTCAGGGAGCCCGCAGGACAGAGGACGCTCCTCAGGGCGTCCGAGACTGCACATCTTTACGGAAGGAAGCAGACAGCCTCTTCTGTCTTTCTCCTGCTATTCTGATACTCAGCAACTGGTTGGGTTTTTTGTTTTGTCTTCATTCAGAGTAAATTTGTGTGGATATAATCTGAATGTCATGTGATTCTAGGAAGCCGTCGGGGCCAGGAGCAGCCATCCAGCAGCTCTGAGGAGGTGTCTGGAACAGAGGAAGAAGAGGACGAGCCCAGCGTCATCCTGAGGCGATGACCATGTTTCCCTACCTCGGACACCATCCCGGCCCCTTCCCTGGACTAGTAGAGAGCAAGCATGTGACCTCCCCTTCAGCAAGACTGGCCTAAGGACAGGCTGTCCCTGCTGAAGGGGAGGGTACACCACTTCCGGCCTGGTCCCTGGCCTCACACATTGAAACCTCAATGACTCAAGACTTTGATTCCATAAAGAACAAAGACCTTTAGGTCCTGTTTGGACATGGGAAGACTCTGAAATGGCACCACAGACGTTGGAAGAAATGGGCTCGGTGTCCTGCAGTTGCAGGACATAGAGCAGCTTTGGCGGCTGGGGGCAGGGTGCAGATCACTCAGCCTGTCCCCCTCCTTTCCTGCACCCAGCAGCTGTGGATACAGGGTGGTGGAGGCCCTGTGTGCACAGGGAGCTGCAGGCAGCCTCAGCCCTAAGAGAGGGGCTTTGATGTGTGACGAAGGGTCATTTTGGAGAGCAGAAGCAGCAGCCGGCAGAGAGGACCCAGGTTGGACTGAACAGAGAACCTGGGCAGGGGCTCTGTGGAGGGAGGTATCCAGGGGAGACTCGGCCTGGACAAGTGGGCGCCCCGTCAGAACTGAAGCCCCGCGAGCTTCCCCCTGCATCCCGTGGCTCCCAGAGACCAGAAGGCTGGGTGAGAGGCCAGAACCCCTGCTGTCTGCTGACCCAGAGTGACCCCAACCCCTCTACCATGCAGGACACTGTGCTGTGGGGGCAGGGAAGTTGGCTGAAGCTAGCCAGCCTTTAGACCAATGCTGGGGACAAGGACACTTTCTAATCAGAGCCTTTGCTTCTTTATCCATCTCCAATTCCATGTTCTTAAGTCGTCTTTGTGCCATTTGTGGCATTGGAGACTGTTACGGAAATGGTGGTTTTGAGGGAAGGGAAACCAAGACACGTTTAAACTTTTCTTTCCCGAGTCCCACACTGAGCCCCATGACTTCTGGGACCGCCTGCCCGTTCACTGCTTCCGGTCTCAGGGATTGTGTTTTCCCAGGGACCAGAGAGTCGGCTCTAAGAAATGAGCACCCCCAGCCGGACACTCTGAAACCTGGTTTCTCTTTTGGTCAGGAACTGACTGGTGTTTTGTTTTGTTTGTACTTCTCATATCTTTGCACTGTGGGCTTCCTTATCACCTCCCAGGATGTGGGCCGTAGCTCTACCGCCTGCTTCGCCTGGGCCCCTCATCAGCTCTGGAGAGGCCCAGGAGCCCTGGCCCTGCCTCTGATCGGCCGAGACTCTGAGCAAGGCACTTCCTGCCTCTCCCAGGTCACCTGCCCGGTTATTTGTTATCTGAGTAGTAGTTGCTCTTCAGGTAGAGTTCCCATGTGAATTTATTAAACAAGATTGAAAAATGCAAAAAGGGACCAGCTTGCCCAGCTCCCCGCCACGCCACATACCCCTGTGCTACTGTGCCAAAGAACTGTGTGCAGCCCACCTGGCTCCGCCTTTGAGGAGCACCCTGGTGCATGGAAGTGTGTGGTGTTAGTTGCCATACTGCTGGCTCAGACTCTTGGTGCAGCTGTGAATACACAACACAGCGCGGCATTGGCTGGCCCTGCACCATCTCCAGGAGCCGGGGGGGCCTTTGTCGCACCTTTGTGCCAGCCCATCTCATTGAAGGGTCCCCTCATTTTTGCTGACCTCCTACCACATACCATGTCTTTGCCTAGCAATGGGTCTTTCCTGGTGACGTGTTCAAAATAAGCAAGAAGAAATTTCACAGTCCTCACAGTTGAGTTTTTTGTTTGTATTTCTGTGACTGACTTGTTCTGGTCAAACCAAAACACTGCGTCAAGTCCATTCTGACTCACAGCCACCATACAAGACAGAGGAGGACTTCTCATGGCATTTCCGAGGCCCAGGGAACCTTCACAGAGGCAGACTCACGTCTTCCTTCTGTGGCTGGTGGGTTTGAACTACCAACCTGTCCATCAGCAGGGCTCTTTGTTCTCATGGCAGCCGTGGTGGGTTCTGTTTTCCTCGCCAGCAGCACAGTTGAGCTCATCTGTCTGCTTTTTTAGTTGTCCAGGTTTCTCATTCATATGAAGCCATTGAGAATACCAAGAAGACTGTGTGAATGAGTTGTTTCTTTCAGAAGGATCAGCACAGGGCCTATGCCTAGGAGGCAGAGGTTAAAGATGTTCCAGATATTGAGCCTTTCTAACCTGCTGTCGCCTCTAACACTGACTACTCTTTCCCTCAGTACTCTTCCCCACCATCGTTGTGTCCCATAATTCACTGCAGCATCTCAGGAACCGTCATGCTGTGGAAGCTGGAAGTCCCAGTCAGTGAGTCTGGTGTCAGGCTAAAGGCTTCTCCGGACTCACATGGTTGCAGGGGCTGGTAAACCCGAATCCAGAGTCAGACGACAGACTGCTGTCTCACCATGCCACTGCAGAAGCTGGTGAATTGGGTCAGATGCTAGACTGCTGGGTCAGGTTCCAAGAACTAGAGGTCAGATGCAAAAGAGAGAACCATGCCAGAACATTGATACCTCAGGGAAGGTGGTGCAACAGTGTTACTTGAATAAGGATGCTAAGTTAAGTCACATCCCTTCCTAATCTTGCCTAGTTAACATAACAGACAACTCAGTCCCAAATGGGACCATAACCACAGGTATAGAGTGGACAGATGTGCAGTACATCACAGTACATTGCATAGCTGTCAAACCACAGAAAACCACGGCCCGGCCAAGTTGACACATAACCCTCTGGGCTCCATACAGCTTTTTTGCATTGGCAGCAAGCTGTTCAGTCCCCTGGGTAGACCGCAAGCATCTGTGCATAATCCTACCCAGTTGTGTGGCAGGCACGGCACTAGGACTGGCTAGAGAGGCATCTTTACTAACCGTCCCATACCTCAGTCAGCAAAGTGGCTTCTCTGCTTTTTAGAGTTTTAATGTTTTGCAGCAGAGTTTTCCAGCTTGATTTCTTGACTGTTGCTCTCGAGTGCTGATTGTTAATCCAAACAGAACGAAATTCTCTACGGCTTCAGTTTTTCTCTTTTTATCATGAGGTTTTCATGTTGGAAGAAGTGCAGCCAGAACGCTCCTTAGAAGCCGGGATGGCAAGACTTCATCTCTCAGACTTCAGACAAGTTACCAGGAGGGACTATAGCCCCTAGAGGAGGATATCATGCTTGGCAGAGTGGAGGGTCATTGAAAAAGAAGACCCCAATGAGATGGATTGGCATTGGGGCAGCAGCAGTGGACTCAAAACTTAGCAACAACTGTGAGGCAGGCCCAGGACCGGGCAGTGTTTCATTCTGTTGGGCATCAGGTCACTGTGAGGTAACTCGATGGCCCCTGACAACGTCATCATGAGGTTTACTGGTTCTCTTGTGAGAATTTCACATTTTACCTTTTTTTTTTTTAAACATCCAGGTATATTCCATACTAAAAGCTTGGCCATTTATCTTCATCAATTAATACTTGAAGACACCTTAATTTTCAACCAGTCTCGCTGACCTCTAGCTTTCCTCATTGTGGCCGATGGTTCTCCGAGTTTCACCTCATCTACCGGCGTGTGCTTGAAGGGTGAACCTGGTTCTGGGTTCTCCATGCTCTGAGAGATACTGGCTGCAGTGAGGAAGGCTGGAAGTCCAAGACACTGGCCACAACACCAAGGGCCCCTCCCTCACCAGGTCCCCTGATCTACTGAGTCTCCTACCGGCAAACACATGCTCTGCTGGCTCCCATCTTAAAACCCGTCTCCACGGGTTCCTCCCCTCTTCAGCCAAACTCCCCAAGAATCCCATGTTTGCTTTCACATCTTCTGGCTCTCTCAGCCCATTCCAATGGAGTTTTCATTCCCATCATTCCACTGAAATTATTCTAGCCAAATCCATCCCTTGCCAACATTCTCTCTAGTTTTTCCAACTCCTCTCTTGGTAGTCTTGAGTACTTCTTCCTGGCGCTCTGTCTTCCCTTCTCACCGCATAAACTAAGTGGTGGGGTGATGTGGGGTGCTGTCTTCCATTCTCAGCACTCGTACCCAGGGAGCGCTTGTCCAGCTCCCTTGAGCAGCACCTACCCTCAATGCCATCTTCACTGCTCCTCATATTTGCTCCTGACTCCAGATTCCTGTCCAGCTGCCTGCAAAACAACCTTCTGACTTCCTAAGCATGTTCCCAGGGGAGCACAGTGGCTCTGAACTGTGAACCACAAGGTTACTAGTTCTAGCCCACCAGCCACGCCACAGGAGAAAGCTGAGGCGTTTGGCGCCCACAAACATTGACAGCCACAGAAACCCTATACAGGAGTGCTGTGAGTCGAAACCGACTAGACAGTGCTTAACAACAAACATGTTCCAAATAGCCCTAGTGGCACAGCAGTTTAGCGCTCAGCTGCTAACCAAATGGTTTGAACTGACCAGCAGCTCTCTGAAAGACCTGGTGATTTGCTCTCATCAACAGTATAGCCAAGAAAACCCCAAAAGGCAATTTGATTCTGTCATACAGCGTTGCTATATGTTGAGATCAACTTCATGGCACCTAACAACAAGCATGTACCACCTCGAGTCTCCCCACCACAGACAATGACACCACCACGCACAGTTGCTCAGGCAGCCTAGGGGTCCTCCTTGGTTTCTTTCTCATCCCGTTCCCACAGCCATCCAGGGCAGGTCCTGCATCTGTCCACTTCCAGTGTCTTGCCGGATCCATCTGTCTTAGTTCTCTAGCGCTGCTGTCACAGAAATACCACAAACTTACTCCTTGGTTTGTTGTGGGTTCTGGCTTACAGCGACCCTGTGTACATCCAACAGGACGAGGCACTATCCAATCCTGCGCTATCCTTACAATTGTTGTGTGTGAGTCCATGGTTACAGCCACTGTGTCAATCCACCTTGTTGAGGGTCTTCCTCGTTTTCACCGACCCTCTCGATTTAGGAAGCTAAGATCAGAATTCAGAGAGGGGCAGACTGCCAGCTCTGTGGGCGCGCCTTTAACATCTGTGAGCCCCATATCTCTCAAGGATCTCCATGTCT